TTTTCCCCCTAAATCTCTAATTAATCTCTATTTCCTTGTTCAGGGACCAAATTTTCCACCACTTTGAAACTCCAGCACATGCAAAAACTGTGCTTATTAATTAAAACACATCTTCCACATTTCCTTCAAAGTCCTTGAAGGAAGTTTCCAATACAGAGATCTTAATTCTGACATGATCTCTTTCATTTCTGTTCCAGCAGAAGRTATTTTCTTCCCCCTTCTCCATTTTATTTTGCCTGCAAGTGAAGCACCCTTTCTACCTGAGATCAGAGAATTTCCTTTAAGCCATGCTTTGTTGAATATGCTTTCTGGCAGGCTATAAAGARGTGTTTGATAAACGCATTTTTCCTGTTTCTTAACATCAGAAAAAAGGCTGGGTAATGTTTAGAGGTCATGTTTTGCTAACTTAACTAGATAATACTCTTCATTAGCATCCAGAAGTCCAATGCCACAATAACCTACTGCAGGTTATTGTGCCAGTTAAAATGCAGGTAGGATGGGGGAGAAAACAGGAACAAGCAGTATGACCAAATAATTGGTTGCTAACTGTCTTGTTCCTCATTTCCTCTAAAGATCCCAATGATTTGAATAACTACTAGTTCCATAGGCCAGCTGTGAGTATTTCCATGGCCTGAGAGCCACAGAGATGGGCATCAAGATCCCAGACACACAAAAGGAGATATTGCAAATGGAGGCTCCCAGCAGATGTCGGTCATAGGGGAAGTGTTAGACATGGAGAATGTCATCACAGAAACCAATGAAAAACAGAAAAGAAAATGGAAGATGTGCCTATATTTGTTTGGAAAGGAAGTCAGTCAGTCATAGACGCATTACAGAAACATGAACTATGAATATAAAATAATCATGACTGGGGATTAAACAGCCTGTTAAAACTATTTTTTTTCTCTTGCCTTAATTTTCCATCTGATTAAAATTTCCCACCAAAGGCCCTCAGACTTATGGGGCTTTGATTTTGGCAATGAACTGCAACTCTGGCAGGTAGCCAGCCTTTCCTTTTTCTCCCTCAGCCCTTTGGTCTCTTCTATATTTCTCATCGTACAGTATTTTTTTTCCTCTAGTCGCAGAACATATGTAAACAACCAGAATTATTTTTGGAGTACAGAAGCATAACATACCCTATTTCTGGTTCTAACAAGAGAGCATATTCTTGCAGATTTTTACTTTTTTTCAGTGATTAATTTTGGGCAAACATTTGTCTGTAAACAGGATACATTTATTAGGTATTTTACTTTATGCTGCTGAGAAACGTCAAGATCCCTAAATACAGCCAAATAAAACTAATACAAATATTAATTTTTTTTAAACTTAGATTACATTCAGACATGCAATGCTGACTTTTCAAAAATATTATCCAATGATAATATACTCAACACTATGCGCACTGCAAACCCACCTCCAAATCCTCAGAGACAAGTTTACCAGAGTGCTTAAGAACACAGAAGAGATGCTAAATTATTTTACTGAATCTCAAAATGCTGAGGTACACTGCTAATGCTTCATCAACTCCAAGACTACCTCAATGAAAGGATGGAACATCTGCAGCATTTACATCTTCTTCTTGTTCCTGTGAAACTTAACAGAACTGAATTTTGATCAAAGCTTTGATGATATTTGTAATTGCAGTTAGTAACTCATGACAGGTTTGTTTTGTCYGAATGTTCATTTTAAGGTTACTGTCACTACTTTTTAATGTCCAGTTCACTTACATCCTATGTTAAATTTACTAGAACCAAATCCAAAAATGTGTTTACACATGTGTGTTCATGCTTCATCAACTTTAACTTTCACCTATATATCCTCTGCAATCTATGTCTTCTGAACATGGTTCTATTATTTTAAATCCACGTAAGTCTACAGGAGATCTCAGTCAATTGAAATTTCAAAATGTGTTTGTCCCCCCAATTAGCCTTCCTCTAAAATTGTGCAGCTTGGAACCTTTTGAGTGGCTTAAAAAAAAGAAAATCATGCAGAAGTAAAAAAAAATTTTAAATCCTGGCAAATACTTGTGCAGTTTACTACTTAATATGTCAATTACAAYTGCTAAGTCTGATTGCTTTGACAGCTTTTTAACCTGAGCTGCTGACCCCAAGACTCTWCTGTCCTTCCTGTTCCAAATTCTGCCACAGAGCCTAACATTACTGAATGTCAAGACCTTRTTCTATGCCCATCTACTTGGTTGCAGTTTTTTCCTTAAAGAATATAATAACTGTAAGACATTCTACTTCATTAGTACATTAATGGATATGCATAWCAGCTGTGCTCCTCATACACTGAAWAAGCATGCAATGAAGATRTGCKRGAAATACTCTGGATTAATTCTATATATATYTGCCCACTTGTCACAGATACACAATGTGTGAATATTTGATTGAGTCTCTAAATTGTCCTTTGTGTTTTTGCATTTTGCATTCTCTCTTTTTCAGTCAAATCTGTTGACTCCAGTTGGYGACCTACTTTTATTTCTTTGGACCACTTTACCCTCACAGTCACTCAGTCAAAATGGAAAAAAAAAAAGGCTCACAACTGTTCCTTCAGACACACATGTTGCTGGTGGTGCTCCCTCTGAATTTGTCAGAAAAGAATCATTGAGGGTTATGTATAGATGAGAAAGAGAACACACAATAGCAGATAAGCTCTGATCCTTTGGAGGTGCTYCTCCTCACAGCCTCTACAGAAGCATCTTCTCGCTTAGGATGTGTTTATGACTTGCTTTGACATTCTCGATTATGGTGCTCTCAATTTTTATAACTTTCTTGTTTAGCCATAGGATTAATTTCCTTAAAAAACACAGTTTAAAAAGCTTTCACTTTCTGTGAGTATTTTGTATTACAGAGAAGTACAGCTGTGATGGATTTTGAAACATGTTTTACTGTGTCCTATGCAAGTTAATGAAAACACCATCAATAATGAGCAGACCCTATTTTTTGCTCATCTCTGTGCACAGTGGAAAAGTTATCCAAGACTTTAGTTCTGCAAGCTGCAGAAAACCTAGCRGAGACACTTGGGATCTTGTTAAAGATCCAAGATATTTTGCTACTTTTGAGTGAGTATGTGAATTCATCTGTTCTGAGCTGCCTCCATCTTTCCCCAACCTGCCATCCCTGCACATAGCAAACTATAAAGGGCTCACATGACATATGCTGCCCCTTTTATCTTCCTCAAAGCATCTTTGGGTAGAATTACATGTTTTAAGCACATGCAGCAGGAAGTGTTTCCCAGCAGGCCAACCAAATTGTATCTTGCAACCAGCCAGAAACCRAAAGTAACTTTTGTGGCAAACTGACTTTATTTTTTTTTTCTGGAAATGTAAAGGAATTTGCTATTTATATGTATGATTTTTCAGGAAGAACTTCCCACTAAGAATTTCAGTTCATGTTCTATGTATTATACATAGGCAAAGAGTGATCAAAAGCTTTCAGCTGCAGCTTTCATGTACCAATGATATTCCATTTACTGAAATCCAGAAATTCTATTTTTTCCACTAAACAAAAATTCCTAACATTTCCACTGGACCCATCATAAATAAGATACTCCCTTGAAGGAACGCTGGTAACCACAAAAGTCATGAAAAGCAATTTGTCTTATCATTTACTTGCTGAAGCTGTTTATGGGGGGGCGGGTTTCAGGTACTTGCTCATGTCTATCCAAAGGGTAGGACCAGATCCATATATCTCAATGAGTCCTTATGAAAATAATCAGTATCCTTGATTTTAATAACWTTATCTCTCAATTTTAAGAACAAAAAAAAAAGTCAGTCAAGAGTCTGACTGCTTGTCCATCTACAAGCTTCTGGCAGCACATACTCATCTTAATGACAGTCTTGGTTCTGTTCCAGACATTACTAAAAAAAAAAGTTCTGATGAAAAAATCAGCTGTGTTTAAATAGCTACATAGTCCAACCAGACAATTTGAAGGTTTTAGCTGKTTTTTTTTCACTCTTACAGACCCTTATCAGGCCAATACACACAGACAATATTAATGGAGAGCTTAGTAAGGTGTTTGTGCTTAAGTGTCATGATCTGCTGAGCACATTATAGTAGGTGCATTACAGGGAGTGCATTATTGCTGCCCTGTGTTTCCACAGCCACGCTTATTCAAGAGACCAGGGAGCTCAGCTTAACACTGGTCACCTCAGGAATGCCTTTATGATGTATTTTAARTGTGACTGCTTAGAACATAAACAAGGATATGTATACACTTTAATACTTGTCAGCAATTTACTGTAAAAGCAGTAACGTGGCTGATAAACAACCAATCATCCTTCTTCCATGTGCTACATATTTTTTTGCAATCTTAACAACAGTGCTGGAGAAAGGACATCAAATGATGCTTAGAAATGTGATACACATTTTCATTTCACACTCCATCAGTTTTTACAACTAGAGCTCCATGAAATGTATGAGAATACTTGGCTAACAGCCATATCTACTGAGGTCTAAAATAAGAATCAGATCTCTTTTTAAAAGAGTTTGGTTTTCTTTACATGACTAAATCTGATGTTGACCTTTTTCCAAAATATATTGCAAATATTCCATACCTCTACCCATCWATTAATTTTGAGTCTCTGAATTGTGTTTAGACCTGTTTTCCCATATATGTAATCAATATGCATTGTTTTTAAAAATAGCTTTGTAAAAAAAGTACACTGATTCAGTCTTCCACTAAACTGAAATACATTGAATTATATAATTTTTGGTGCTTAGTATTTTCAATTCAATATTTTCAATTCTGTTCTTTCCCCATCTTGCACCTTGAAACAAGAAACAAGTATTATTGCCTTTAGAGTCAGCAAAGTAAAGCTACGGGCATCAGCAAAAACATACTTTGAATTCAGATTTCAATCTGTCAGAAAAGATTAAAGCTTCATGCATATATAAATGGGAACTATAAAATGATAACAGATACATAGCATGGAATCATTTTGCTTGAACAGCTGCAGATTTACCAGTGTAGKAAAGCAGAAAATGTCTTTTACTCACCTCTGTTAAACCAGAAACTTCTCCTTTTGCTAACGGTCTGGTGATGGATGCAGTGTGAACTCTGGCATCTGACACTGGCTGCCCCTTCATAAAATGTTTCCCAGCTTCATAAATATTCACTTCGACCATCTTACCCATTAACAGAGGATCTTTTGGCACAAGAATCTTTGAAATAAAATAAAGACATAGTTACTAAATACCAGAAAGAACATTAGCGTCTCTAGTATCCACTCAGAAAAAAAAGATTTTTGATAAACATCAGAGARAATCCTAAAACTTATTAGTCACCAGCATACCCTACAGCCCATAACACACTTGACCCAGTAGGGTCTCCAGCTTGCATTCTTCGAGAGCTTTGCACTGTTAGCTCAGCTCTTTTCAGCTCCAACCAATTCCTTAAGTTATATTTTTTGATTGATGAGAAAGCTGGGCCTGAGTTGAACCTTTTGAATCCWGACCCTAACAGTTCCCAAGGGCATTTGTACTACACAGTTCCAACAGACTGCTGTAAAGCTTCTTATTTCCATCTCTGTCCCATGACACCTTCTAAAAAAAAAATGTTTTGGAGTCTGTGAAGGCTTCAGGAGAGAAATTATTACCCTTGTTTCTCTTTGCACAAGCCTTTATTTTGATTGTGCAGATCTTTTGCAGCTGAGATGCATGATTGACAATGAATGCCTGTAAAAATAGATGACTGTTTCTTGGGTCAGCAACTAATGCCACCCTTTCTTGAATTTGCACAACCATGATATCAGACAGTCCCACTGCACAAAAAAGGACATAACAGATGTTCCTAGTTCATGCATTTTAAAAAAGAAATAGCCCAACATACTGGAGCAACAATTTTTGTTGGAAGAATAAGTGGAGTTAAAATGGYTCTAAAATAGAAAAGCAGTTAAAAAGGTGGAGTATTTTCTGTTGAAATTATATTTTTTTACACTGTTTACAATGAAAAATTGAGGCACGGGGACTTATTTAGTCACATTTACTTGAAGCTCATCCACACACARAAACTCAGGGTGGGTCAGGTTGGAAGGGAGCTCAGAGGGGTCATCTGGTCCAATCTCCCTGTTCAAGCAGGGTCATCATAGAGCACATGGCWCAGGATTGCACCCAGATGGTTCTGGAATTYCTCCAGCTAGGGAGRTTCCAYACCCTCTCTGAACAATCTGTTCCAGTGCATGGTCACCCRCACAGAAAAGAAGCTTTTCCTTATGCTCAGGTGGAACTTCCTGTGCATCAGTTTCTGCCCCTTGCCTCTCATCRTATTGCTTGGCAACACAAAGAGCCTGGATCCATCCTCTCAACACCCTCCCTTCAGTCACTGATGGACATTGATGGGGTCCCCTCTCAGTCACCTCTTCTTGAGGCTGAACAGGCCCAGCTCCCTCAGCCTGTCCTTGTAAGAGATGCTCCAGTCCCTCAATCATCTTTGCTGCCCTGCACTGAACCATCTCCAGGAGCTCCGTGTCTCTCTGTCCTGAGGAGCCCAGAACTGGACACAGCACTGCAGGTGTGGCCTCACCAGGGCTGAGTAGAGCTTTTCAAAGGCAATGATGACATCTTTATATCTTGATTCTTTGATGCTGAAATTGAAATGCCTTAAAATGGCTTAACTTTTAAGACTACATGTGCAGAGGATTTTTAAGAGGAAAAGAATCCGTGCCACCCACATTTGGAGTGTTTTGTTGCCAAACACTGCTTCTCCATTTTCACCTATCACAACTGTCAATTGTCCCACTTGGAGGAAATCACCACCAGTGATGCTAATGATGAGAGGGTGTTACAGYGTGACTGGATCACAGTTATTCCCATGTAATTCAACTTGGGCCAATTTAAATCAAAGGGAAATTAGGTAGCAAAGTCACTGGGACACTTTGTGACATCTGCAAATCTTGTATCTCCACATGCAAAAGGGCAGTAACTCAACATAAACCCAACTTCAGAAAAAGAAAGAGGTTAAGTGAAAGTAACAGTGAGGTACCATAAACAATCAAAATCCAGGCTTGGCACACACTCAGACATTTTTTGATGTAAGGATTTGTGAGGAAAAAACCCTCAATCATATATCTCAGAAACTAAGTTACAGCAACACTCTCACCTTCTAAGTTATAGAAACTCTCACCTTGGCTGTCAGTCTGGCACAGCACTCCCTTGTCACTTTAGACTACTCTGTTCAATGTAAACTCTATCACCTAAACCTCCACAAACGTCAGCTGYAGCTCAGCCACAAAGTCTGACAGTGGAGCTCTCTTGAGGGCTTAATAGCAAATTCKTTTAGTACAGATGAGCTCAGCAAAGACAGAACACATTTGATAACTATTTGAGTTAACAGAACACTACACCAAGACTCTGAGCTTCAGTTTGCAATAATATGTAATATGATGTTTAGACTTTAGAGTGGTTTTCAGTTTACTATCATTCCATTTACTGCTATTTGTCTTAGTTACTAGCTCCGATTCTTGTGCTTACCTGGGTGGGCAGTAGGATATTATCCTTGTGAAACATACTGCACATAAGATTTTAGGGAAAAGATTTACACTGTCAYCATGGAAAGCATTTCTTCCCTAATAGAATTTAAAATTACTCCCTATGTTACTATTTGTATTTCATGAATTCTTTACCTGTCCCAGTCATGAGCTGTATTAGGTGCTGTACAAACATATCACAAAACATCAACACTTTCTCCTGTATGTATTGATTTTCATTTAATTAATTAAGCTTCAATAAAATAAGCATTGAACAAAAAAGCCTCAAGAATTTTTTTTTTAATCTCTGTATGAAAGACCATGTACCTCAACTCTGACTGAGAAGCTACAAAATCAAGGAGCAGCAATACATAAGACTTAGACAGAAGTTGGACATGCAACAAAAAAAAAATTATTTAAAAAAAAAAAGTGACGGAAAAGTAATTAGTGACCCAGATCTGTTTCTAACAGAAACAGTTATTCAGGAATAGCAATGTTGCTTACTACTGGGGAAAAATAAATAAATAAATGCTGTAACACAACCCGAAAGCAGAAGAAAGCACTATTGGTGACTCTAGAAGCACAGCCATTACTACAGTCTCTCCAGATTCAGAAAACTGAATACCTAAGGGTAGCAAAAGCAAACTGTAGACAGCTTAGTGCAAGAAAATAGAATAAAATCATGATGATTCACAAAAGGCAATTTTATTGGTTTTAAACAAGTTATCTGCTTTTGAGCAAAAACCCCAATTTTGTGAAATAGATGTTGTACTTCCTTCCTTGCTCAAAGATACTTTTGTTTTTGTGTGGCAAGAATTCATCTATAGAAAGTACACAGAAAGAAGGGAGGGAAGGAAGGGATGCCATTCAGAGGGACCCACACAAGCCTTAGGAGTGAACCCACAAGAATATAAYGAGGTTCAACAAGTGCAAGGTGCTGCACCTGGGGCAATCCCAGACAGAAGTACAGACTGGGAGAAGAAGTCACTGACAGCAGCCCTGATGAGAAGGACATGGGAGGGTGTCACGGGTGAGAGGCGGTCAGAGCTGGCAATGTGTGCTCACAATACAGAAATTCAATTGTACCCTGRGCTGCATCCAAAGAGGGGTGGCCAGCAGGGTCCCCTCCAGCTCAAACCATTGTATGATTCTATGAAATACAACATACCATGCTGAAGTTGCTAATCTGAAGAAGCTTCTGATCCTTTTATTGTTAGAATTTTTTTTTTTTTTTTGCAAATCACATTTTCTGAAAGACTTTTCAGAAAGATRTATGCAAACTGTCATGTCTCAACTATTCAGAAACCAATGCTTTGGGGACATAGAAATTAAAATTACTGCAATAATTAACAGCTTCTTAAAACATGCTGTACTCAAACACCCAACTTAAACATTCAAACATATTATGTTATATTTCTTAATATAATTTCAGGTAAATTATATTTACAAAACAGGAATAAAATATCTCATAAAAAAAGTCTTGATGGTCACATGTTTCCTGGAAAATGCTTCTTATTTTTTCACTAGTTCTTTCACACTCTGCCACACTGTGTTGCTGAGATTATCAGATAAAACAAAAAGATGACATTTGGTTTATTTAACTGTACCTGCTCATAGAAAGGATTGTGAGCAACGTAGTAATTGGAGTCAAAGGATTCTTCTGTTACCAGAACTCTCTGCCTCTCTCCAACCTGGAAAACAGAAGATGAGAGATGACTCAGAAAGCAAAACCAATGAATTATACTGAGAAGAGGACTGCAACTACAAACAAATATTCTTAGCAGGAATAATCAAATTTTCTGAGGAACTTCTGTATCAACAAGAAAGTGAAGTAGAGGAAACCTTACTTAAAAGAGTCTAAAACAGGGTTGAAACTCAGATTTGAGAGCTAWAACTGTGGGGCTGTAATGGCTTAASATGAAAATCCAGTTCAGAAATATAAACTGATTTTTACTTATTAACATGATAGGAAATAAAAATGTCAGATGTGAACAAAGTCCATTATATCTTCATTCAACTAATGAAAAAATGCTGTAATCAGCCACCAAAAGGATATCTTTTCTTAAAAAGCCACATTTATTATTTTCTATGCTGGTGCATCTCTATCTCTTCTTAGTGATCTCACTTCACTTTACTCATGAGATCACACCAATTTCCATCAGAGTGGAGACAACATTGCATATTACAAAAACTCAGAAAGAGTTTTTAACAATTCACAGACACAGCATACTAAAGGCAAAATAAACACTGGTCTAGAAAACCTCCAGTTATACTTCCCAATCTTCAAATGCACTAACACAGTTTAACGGAAGCACCAGTTTTAAAATTAAATGGAAATTACATGGAAGATGCCAAGACAAATCAGTTGCATTTAGGGGCCAAGCAGGTACGGAACAAAATCTGACTTTCCCTGAAGTTCAAAATCCCCCACACAACACCTCTGGTCTTGTCCATTACTGAGTTTATAATGAAGTGTACAGCTTAATTTCTGCAAACCTGGGAGAACATTTAGCTCATATTTATAACTGGAGCCCATCTCTACTTTTTCCATCTAAATGTGCCCTGGATTAATTCCAAACTATTTGACAAATGCATTCTGCAAATTACAACTGTCTGGCAAGTTAAATTTACTCAGCACTTTCATTACTATTTTGAGACTCAAAAAGCTTTCACATTCTACTCCAAAGTTTTAATATCTATGAGCAAAGTTAAATTCCCCTCCCCTCGCCCAGAAAGATTCCCACCCCATCTTAGTGGCAGCTGTTATACACAAGTTTTAAGACCTCCATCATAAGTTCTATATGCATTAGCGAGGTGCAGAGCGGATAATATAGTTTTGATTCCTTAAGGTTCAAGCAGTATAAGCTAAGATTAAGATTTCTCTAACAGTTAATGGCAGAATAGAACATAAAGAAATAGGAACAGCAATATTACACCCACATCACAGTATATATATATATATATATATATATATATGTATCTGTGTATATATATATATGTGTGTTTGTGTGTATATATATATATATATACACACATATATATACATACACATGATACATATATAATTCTCCACTCCCTAAACAGAAAGACTTCACAGAATAACTCTTGACTTCCCTTTCCTGTGCATTTATCTAGAACATTCCCACATAAACCCTGRAAAACAAGGGAGACAGTGAGCACCCAGCTCATTTCCCTGAAGGAAGTTAGACTTCACTCCTCAGGACTACAAGTTGTGGGGTACACAGCAGAAGGGGCAAACTGCCCAAGTTCCAGGCCCCATAACAGAATGGTAATAGTAGAAAATTTGTATATTTTTGCATACTTTTAAGAGGTATTTAAGCATACTTTTAAGAGGTATTTAATTGTTCATAGCACATTTAGAATTTCCATTCTCTGGGAAGTCTGAAACGCAAATAACAACAGATAAAACACACTCAAATTTTAGCAAAAATCCAGTGTAACTAACAGTGTGGTGGTTTTATTATTATTTTCAAGARAACAGAGTACTAAATTCAAATCCCCAGAGGAGTTTTGCAAAACATGTCAATAAGGCACTCGAGATAACTACTCCAGTAATAAGATTACAGAGAACACTTCCCCTAAACTGAGAGGTTTGGTTACTTCTATAATATTTGAGACCACAGCTTTTAAAAATCACAACTGAACATTTGCTGCAGCGCTGAAGTGTTCAAGTGTCAGTTGTCTGGCAATATTATGAAAAAGAGGAGGACAAAATATTAGATAAGCAACATTCACCCTTGGGCAAACGCACTTCCACTGAAAAGCACCAAGGCCAATCACCAAGTCATGTCCTCACATCGTATTTATTATTTACCAATACGGAAAATTAGCAAACATGGCTCAAAGCAATATTGGATCTGTAACTCATTTTTCAGTTGTCTTGTGGTTCCCTGGGTCTCTCTGGTCATAACAGTCTGCCTTCGTCGAGGCTATGAATCCTGCCTGTGAGGCAGACCAAGCTACATGTGTTATCTTCGTACTCTCAGATGACAGAATGGCAAGCATTTTACAANAAAAAAAAAAAAAGAAAATAAAAAAAAAATCAGAGGGAAGAAAAAAGAACCCCTGTGTTAGATCATTTGATATAAGCTGTGGTTTCTTCAGAAACACATTGCCAGTTTTTTTCATCTTTGCTTCCAGGAGCCAAAAGAGGCCAGATCTCCTCTCCATGTCTCAGTGGGTCACAGAGTGAGCTTCTGGCCTCAGAATTTCTTGGGAATGGGAGGAAATCGGGAAGACTAAATTCRTCACACAACATCAGAATGATGGCATTTAAACTGAGGACCAGAAGCACAGAGGAGCCAAACAGCCTATACCAATTTACAGTATATGCATACAGACAGACAGACACACACAAGACTGGCACACTGCAACAAGCAGAAAGTAAACCCAGTAACTGTCCATTTGCTGAAGTTATGGATCTGTAGCCTTGGCTCAAGGCTGAGCTCCCAGAGAGATACAATATTCAGCTATTTGCAGACTCTTTTGCCATAACAACAGAAAAGAAAAATTCCATTTAATGAGTTGGCCATTGCGTATTCATGATCTACAAGACTAATTGGCTACATGCATTTGTAAGACAGAAAATTACTATCTATCCTGCATCCAAGTATAATTAAGAAGAAATGTAAGTACGCAGAACACAGCTTTGGTATTAAAATTTGTTCAAAAAGTGGAATATGTCATCATTTCTGCAATTATTCCCCTGGGATCTCTAAGTACCTAAGTTTCACCTCTCTCAGAATTTAAATATGCAGAAACCAGACATGATATCTAATAACATTCATAATTATAATAACCTTTGATGATTTTTTTTCAGGCATGTACCAGCAGAAGTAGTTCAGTATCTTGTTTTCATTCCTATTCTTTCATCTCCTTCCACAGGTACACATGGGTTCCAGCTCTCAGGGAACTTAAATTCTGCCAAAGTATCTAAAACTGAGGAAACTCAGCCCTGGCATCTCAATTTGGAAAGGTTTCCTACAGAAGCATTRTTTTTTTTCCTGATGGACTACAGCATGAAAATACTTATGAATGACAGCAAAAAAACCTTGCCCAGCAACCTCCCCCACRCCAAGGTGGACTGGTCATATAATTTGCAGAAGGGCAATTTGTTTACACCAAAAACAATGCAACAAAGCTGCTGGTTTGTTCACTTCCTGCACTGCAACAGTCATCAGGAATTTTGTAAATCTCTGAGTCAGTAATCAAATCACTTAGGAACTTTTATTTCATTTTCATTTATCCTACAGGAAATTCTGACATGATAATTCTTTAACTCAGTTTTTCCTTTATGGAAACCATGAAAAGCAGTTTCTCCAGCTGGCTGATTTTATAAAATAAATGAACAGTAAGAAATGTTCAAAATCCTTCTTGGCTGCAGCCAAATTGTTTCTTTTTTAAACAAAAACTGACTGAATCACATAAAACACAAGACTGATTTTTAAACTGCAACAGTTTGGATGCAAAGCACTGTCTCTTTTTACATGCTTTGATAGAATATTGCTACAATGCCAAAAGTGGTGACTGCTGGGTAACACTCAGGTAATGTATATCCCCGATTTATTTTTTTTTTTTTTTACTCAATGAAGACTATGATTGCACCAGTTTTGATTTTTTAATTCCTAAAGCCAGAGCCCATGGCATGTGATCTTTCTCAATGTCTCCTTATTGCTCTTTTATCTGAATTTTCTTCCTTTTTTAAGAGCCTCTGATTGGCTAAAAAAAAAAATATAAATTAATAATCACTGTATTTCCATATTTCTTCCATAGAAGTAAACACACTGCCCATGCAGCACCTCCATTGATTTAGAGAGAGTGGCCAAAGCCTCCTTCAGGCTTAGTGCAATTCGCAGTGGCATAGATSAGGAGCTCTCCTCATGTTGAAGGAGGCTGGCTTGGATTCTGACCTCAATCATCATGGAGCATCCTGAGTACAAGGMTTGGAAGCCACATGAAAATCTGTTTTCCTGTATTTGTTATTTAAATCCATCATAAAGCAGGCAATGAAGAATACACACCATCACAATTTACGTGTGTATGTTTTAGCAGATTATTCTGATGTATGGAATATTTCTGGTGCCCATGCATATTTGACCTTTACTAAGTGTAACAAAGTTTAAGCAAAAACAATTTAGAAAATGCTTATTCCACATCAGTTTTGGTTTACTTCTCTCCTGATTTTTCAGTTGCGGTCTAATTATTTTGAATAAATTTTAGTAATTATGTAGATGACGTATTCACTACAAAGCAGAGATGAACTGCTGGACCTACTTTTTATAAATGATGTGAATCTTTCTGTAAATAGAAGCCAAATTTCTTGAAAATTGTAATTAACCATTCTCTAAGTCTTCTGTTTACATATTGTAGGTGTTTTCTCTCCCTGACAGGGAAGTCTAAGTGGGCCACAACCTCCCTGTAAGAAATGAAATTTCTAGAAACTTATGATATGGTCCTGTTTTGATGGTACCAGAACACATCTCTTTTCAAAATCTCCTTTGTGATTCTTTGTTCTGCTATGCAGCACAGCTCCTCCAAAATTGAGGGTGCATACATCCCTCCCTTTCTGAAGGAAAGAATGGACTTGTCTCTGAGCTTGTCTACAAAGTTGTTAGGGACTTTAAATGTGGGTACATTAAAATAGTTCAGCCTCTGAGCATGACAATTTTTA